ATATATATATATATATATATTTATATATATACATAATTATATATATACCGCTAGGTGCTTTTCGACCGTGGGAAGAGTCGGTGGCAGGCAAGAAATATCCATCGGCAGAGGATGTGCCAAAGTTAGTAATATATATGTATATTATGTCTCGCTATTATATTAATCTATAATACAGAAATTCAAGCATACGTGGTATGTCATGTTTACATGAATATCTGTACTGTATCACAAAACTACATCGCAAAGTGATTAACATTAAGGGAAGTATGGAATGTACATCATCTATATATCTATACATCTTTATAAAATATATCACAAATCTAATCTGCTTTCATCTATATTACAATTCTCACCCATTACCGAACTTTGCCGTATTTTTCTTCATAATTAATCGCCACCATTTTACATTATAGCTTGGAGTCGTGGCTCATGAGATTGGACACGCCCTCGGCTTCTTTCACGAGCAGTCGAGATCTGATAGAGACAGCTACATTAAAATTATATTCGAAAATATTCAAAGAGGAAGAGAAACGAACTTCGAGAAGCAAAATCACATTAATTTTGATGTCCCGTACGATCTTTCGTCTCTGATGCACTACTCTGGAACTGTAAGTATATATTTCGCGACGCACGCACCCAGACAAATTCGCGAAATGGCAAACAAGCGCAGAGACATTTACGCACCAAACGAAAATAAAAAGGACGTTTTATCTGCTGTCTGAATCGATTTTTATCGTAGCGCTATTATTAGGTTGCCGTCGTCATAATTTCACTACTTTGTTCATTTTTTTACTGATTTATTTATTCGTAACTTTTTTATTCATTTCAGACGTTTTCCGTCGACAGACGCACAAAGCTTTCTATACGCACGCTCAACCCTCTTCAACAACATATCATCGGGCAGCGAATAGGTCTTTCCTTTTTCGACTTAAAACTGGCGAACATGGCATACTGTCAAGGTAATTATATCCGTTATGAGATTTTAATTAAGGTAAATTATACTGCGTTGCTGCGTGGTAGAGGAGAATGCAGTACCGTAATGTGTGTGGTGTTGATGTGTGATGTGTGTGGTGTTGTGTTGTGTTGTGTTGTGTTGTGTTGTGTTGTGTTGTGTTGTGTTGTGTTGTGTGTAGTGTGTGGTGTGTGTGGTGTTGTGTTGTGTGTAGTGTGTGGTGTGTGTTGTGTTGTGTTGTGTTGTGTTGTGTTGTGTTGTGTTGTGTTGTGTTGTGTTGTGTTGTGTGTAGTGTGTGGTGTGTGTGGTGGTGTTT